CAAAAAAAAAAAAAAAAAAAAAAAGCAAGTGCTATTGAAGAAAGACCTAAGTGATGATAGGGGAAGGATGTCTGCTTGTGTGAAATATGAGCTTGGTGAGCTGAGCGACTGCTGGGGAAAGGATGGTTCCAAGGATATGTAGTATATATATACTACATATCCTTATTGATAGTAGGGAGAAAACTATAATCATAAATTTGATCAAGCAGTTATGTGCTCAGGCCCAAATCTTAAACTCACAAAAACTAACACAATTTCAGTTCAGGCCAAACTATCTCAAGTCTTTAATATTTTACCTTCGGAATTCATTTTAAAATTTTTTCACAGCACGTGTATTTAATCTTACTTTGTTTAGGTTATTAATAAAATTTGCTTCTTATGATAACATTCCTTATAAGGATGAATATTATTGGTAGTAGATATCGTTTTAGATAAATAGTGATTGTGTAAAGTGTAAATGTGAATAATTGTTAATTACATTTTTAAAAATTATAGTAACTTTTTTCCTGATGATAAAGTTATTACCTATTCTCTGTTAAAGATTATAAGGTATAAAAAAGAAACTGAAAATTATCTTTAGCTCCATTACACAAAGGTAACTACCCTTAAACTTTCTTCGCTATTTTTATTTTTATTTATTGAGTTGAAGTCTCACTTTGTCGCCCAGACTGGAGTGCTGTGGCATGCTCCCGGCCACTGTAGCCTTGACTTGCTGAGCTCCTGAGATCCTTCCATCTCAGCCTTCCAAGTAGCTGGAACTACAGGCTTGCCTCATCTGCCTGGCTAATTTTTTTAAATTTATTGTAGAGATAAGGTCTCGCCAAGTTGCCCAGGCTAGTGTCGAACCTGTGGGTTCGGGCAATCCTCTCTCCTAGGCCTCCCAAAGTGCTGAGATTATAGGTGTGAGATACTGCACCCAGCCTAATGTAGACAGTTTTAAGACATCAAGGGGGCCTTGGTCATGCACTATTCTTTATCTCTTGGTAATGATAACAAAATTGCTTTACATTACAAAGATATATTAGGTCTATTATAATCACACTATTTCAGAATTGTCACCTAATGACATTAACCCTTTGCACTCAGAGATATCAGAAAACGAATCACTTTATATTAAATAGTATGGTGTTGGAACCAGTTATTTTATTGTAATGATATTTGGCTTATAATGGAATTGTGGACATTGAAGAACTTATGACAAAAAAATCAAAATTTTATATTTTTCTAATATGTGTTAATGTGTGAAACAGTCACCAACATGCATTGTAGGTTCATTGATACATGGTGTGTAATAGTAATTCATTTGACATCTTCTGCTTGGTGATTTTCATTTCTTTTTTTTTTTTTTGAGTTGGAGTCTCACTCTTTCACTCAGCCTGGAGTGCTGTGGCACGCTCACAGCCACTGCAGCCTCAATCTGCTGGACTCAGATGGTCCTTCCACCTCAGCCTTCCAAGTAGCTGGAATTACAGGCGTGTACCACCATATCCAGCTAATTTTTTTATTTATTGTAGAAATGAGGTCTCCCCAAATTGTCCAGGCTGGTCTCGACCCCCTGGGCTCAGGCAATCTCTAGCTTCTGCCTCCCAAAGTGCATGCCACTGCACTCCAGCCTGGGCGACACTTTGGGAGGTGGAGGTGAGAGGATTACCTGAGCCCACAGATTGGAGACCAGCCTGGGCAACATGGCGAGACCTCATCTCTACAATAAATAAAAAAAATTAGCTGGGCATAGTAGCGCTTGTCTGTAGTTCCAGCTGTTTCAAAGACTGAGGTGGAAGAATTGCTTGAGCCCAGCAGATCGAGGCTACGGTGGCCATGAGTAGCATGTCATTGCACTCCAGCCTGGGCAACAAAGTGAGACTCTAAAAAAAAAAAAAGTCTTTTAAAAATAAAAACCAACATAATAATCACCAAAATCACAACCGAACTTCCAGTGCATTTAACAAGAATATGATTTCCACAATATTGGAAAAGTGTATTGGGTGCTAATTTTCTTATCAACTGAGATGATACTGCTGTGCGATAATAGCATAAATACAGGTACAATTCACATGGCTTACCATTTTAAAATTAAGCATTCCCTGGTGAATTTTAATTTGGGATGTTTTTTATTTTATTTTATTTTAGCAGAACCAGGGTCTTGCTTTGTTGTCCAGGCTGGTCTTGAACTCCTGGCCTCAAGCGATCCTCCCACCTTAGACTCTCAAAACACTAAGATTACAGGCATGAGCCACCGTGCCCAGCTGTATCATTTTAAATTTGCACATAAAGTGAAGTTTATTAACTTCACTACAAGTTTGCAAAGCTTGACTGGATAAAATATGACCCCATCGTACCTTTGTATCAGTTAGGGATTAAGTTTGGTTGCTTTTAGCAAAAATACTAGTAATAATGCTTTAAACAAGATAGTGATTCAGTTTGTATAGCTATCACCGGCTCAACGTCTTATGTCCGTTCCTGTCGCTCTTTTTTTTTTTAATTTTTTTATTTATGTATTTATTTATTTTCCTGGCGCTCTTATGAGTCTTTTGTTTTTTTACTTCTTGGTGGCAACATGCTCTAGCCACAGGTATCATATCTAATTGCCTAGGAAACAGGATGCAGGAAGGACCAGTACTTAAATCAGGCATAACAAATTTTTCCAGAAGCCCTTGCTTCTTCCATCAAAATCAGTAACTTTTTCAAAGAAAGGGAGAATGGAAAGAATGGATCTTAGCAGGAAACGAGTGTCTACCATAGCCTTTCGTTGATTGGTCTCACATTCATCTCTAGTTGTTTCACATAGGAGGATCATCTGTCAGAAGCCTAGTAGTCTCACTAAATCATTTCTCATTTTAAAATACCATTTGAAATACTGACTCCTCTAAGCCAAGTAAGTAGTTGGCTCCTTCCTGAAAAATGCATGTCAGGATACTTTCTGCCTGACAGTAAATAATTTGTTTACATATAACATAAAGGACAAGGAGTGGAGGAAGACAGCCAATATTTGAGCTCCAGGCACTGTGCTTTGTGCTTTACATGTTTTCTTATTTAATCCTCACATCAACCCTGTGAGCTTATTACAGGTGAAGAAACTGAAGCTCTAAAATGTGAGATAATCTTGCCAAGGGTCACACAATTCTAAAGTAGAGCTAGTGGAACTCAAACTCCGATCCATCCAAATCAAAATCTTCTGTATTTTCTATCATACTCCTAAAGTCTTCATCACATAATCATATATAGTCGAAATATCTTCTACCATTTGTCCTATATTTGCATCCTATAAATACAGTTATCTGAAAATGTAAACCTTAGGAGGATAAGAACCAGAACTACATGGTGCTCTTACTAGTATGCACAATGGCAAAAGTACTTAATAAAATGCTTTAATGATATAAAATATAGTTTTTAATATTTTGATTGATTCCTTTATAATTATTTGATCATCTCTGATTGTTTACAGCAGAATGAGACTAAGAATGAGAAATGATTAGTACAATGTTGCTATGATTGTACCCAAAGAAGTTAATCCCAGAAGGAAATAGTAATATATTACATAAAGATGAAAATATTAAGGAAATATTTTAGGGTTTGTTTTGTTTTCTTTAGTGATTTGAGATTGGGGGGGCTTTTTTTCGTTATTGTTTTTAGTCATTACAGACAGGACATTAATATTATGGTTTGAGTCTCTGTTCTTCACAATTACGAATTTCTCTAATGGAACTCATAATGTTCTTTCCCTCATATTAATTATAAGATGTAAATTTTGTTTTCTTTTTAAACTTTATATCAGGATATGGTTATACAAGCTCTTCAGAAAACGAATAACAGAAGTATAGAAGCAGCAATTGAATTCATTAGTAAAATGAGTTACCAAGATCCTCGACGGGAGCAGATGGCTGCAGCAGCTGCCAGACCTATTAATGCCAGCATGAAACCAGGTGATTAATCAACTTTTTTCTAATCTCTTTTTTTTAACTGTATAGTTTAAAAATACTTAAGTATATCAAATCTTTGGTTTTAGAAATTATTAAAAGCATCTCAGCAAATGTAAGTCTCTAATTAAGATGATAATGTTATAGTATTATACCAAAATGAATTTAAGGGAAGGGTCCTTACATTTAAAAGTTAATAGGTAATTCTGATAAGCAGCAGTCTAGGTTGAGAACTACTTTATTGGCTATACTGAAACTGAAATATCTTTCCCCCCAATAACATTAATCAAACTGTTCCTTTTTTCTTTTTATAACTTTTATATTTTATTATGAGAGTAAAATATGTTCATCATAGACTTTTTGGAAAGCAAATAAACAATAAAATAAGACACTGTTAATAACCACAATATTTTGGTGTGTTTTGTTTTCCAGTCTTTTTTCCTGTGGGAAACCTGAGTGGTTTATGTATGTATAGTGTGATTCTTGTTTTTTAAACAAAAAATGAATCATACTACAACCTGCTTTATTCATTTAATATACTCTAACTTTCCTTGCTAGTAAATGTTCTAAAAAACATTTTTATTAACCACATTAAAATAGATTTATCACACACTTTATTTAACCAGTCACCCGTTTCTGGCACATTTGCCTTGTTTTCTTTTTTATTTGCTATTACGGACAGCATGGCAATAATTACCCTTATAACTAAATCTTTGTACATACTTGATTTCCTAAAAGTAAACTTTAGAAGACTTGCAAAACTTAAGGCTTTTCATGGATATCGCTGTCTAGAAAGGTGGTACCAACTTATATTCTTCCTGTCAGTCTACTGTGAGAATGCCTAAATTTGTAAAGCCTGGGTATTACCATTTTTGTCTATTTAATGACTGTGGAACACTGTCTTATTTTACATCACATTTCTTTGGTCACTAGTGAGGTTAAACATTTGTTCATTGGTTATTTTTAAATTGCCATTTAAGCTTTTTCTGCATCTTGTGTTTGTCTTTTTAAAAATTTATTTATAAGAGGGCTTTACTCATCCCTCTTTTCAGTCAACAAATTTCTATTGGTCAGCCACTTTTCAGGCCCTTTGCTCAGTATTAGGTAAGTTCGTAAGTTCATGCCCTTTTATGGAGCTTGCATTCTAGTAAAGAAGATCAAATAATCACATAAATACATGTTGAATTATAGCTGTATAGGTGTGAATGAAGAGAGGAGAGCTACATAGTATTGTAGATTCTATAATATATAGAGGGTTTTTTTTTTTAACTAATCAAGATTAGAGAAAACCTTCCTAAGAAATTGGTATTAGAGCTGATATCTGAAGAAATACAGGGTAACTGGGGATGGGTTGAGTGAGGAATAATGTCCCTATGCAAGGTTGCTTTGGCAGGTTTTGATGCCACAAGGAACTGAAAGTGACTAGAGCACTGAAAACAAGAATGTGAGATGTGACTGGAGATGTCCATAGGAGCATAACTGCAGGACTCTTTTATTAATTTTATCCTAAAAGTAGCAGAAAATTATGGAAGCATTTCAGTCAGGGTATTGACATGATTAGATTTGTTTCAGAAAGATAGCCGCAGTGGATGACAATGGATTAGAGATAAGCAAGGGAGGATATGGGATAGGCTTGATAGGAAATTTAGTAGTTCATGAGAACTGAAGGTAATTTGAACTAGGGAGATGCCAGTGGAGAAAAGTGAATTAATTAAGAGGAATAAGAGCAGGGAAATTGACAAGGATTTGGTGATAGATTACACATGAGAGATAATGATGGAGGGGGATAACTCTTAGGTTTGGTTTAGAAAAACAGATGGATAGTAGTACCCTACATTAAGAAAAAGAATGTTAGGAGAGAATGAGATTTAGTAGGAAAGATCATATGTCTGGCTTTGGCCATAAGTTTGAGTTAGATTCATGGATTTATCTGAGTGGAAATGTCAAGGAGGAAGCTGGATATGTATGTGTGAGCCATGCATATGAAATTGGTCACCTAAGGGAGAGAGCACAGATGAAAATGTTAAATGATGGCCTGCAATCAAGCCTATTATTTAATAACTGGTAGGGGAGGATAAACCTGCAAAAGAGACAGAGAAGAATTAGCTAAGAAAGAAGGAAGAAAACCAATAAGGTTTTTAGTGTCTAGGAAGCCAAGGGAAGAAAAGTTTCCAAAAGGGGAAAGGAATGATCAAAATGCCAAATACTCCTAAGAAAGTGACACTGGGCTGGGCTCGGTGGCTCAGCCTGTAATCCCAGCACTTTGGGAGGCCGAAGTGAGTGGATTGTCTGAGCCTATGGGTTCAAGATTAGCCCAGGCACTTGGCAAGACCTTGTCTATGCAATAAATCTAAAATTACCCGGGTGTGGTAGTGTGCATCTATAGTTCCGGCTACTTGGAAGGCTGAGGTGGAAGAATTGCCAGAGCACAGTAGGTTGACACTAGGGTGGCTGTGAGTGTGCCACTGCATTCCAGCCTGAGCAACCAAGTGAGACTCCGACTCAAAACAAAAGGAAAAAAAAGAGAGACTGACCAAGATGAGAGCTAGAAAATATTTTGTTGGCTTTAGTGACATGGTGTATTAGTTTGTTAGGTCTTCCATATCAAAATACCACAGACCGAGTGACTTCAAAAATATAGATTTATAGATTTATTTTCTTATAGTCCTAGGAGCTATAAGTCCAAGATTAAGTTGCTGGCAGGTCTGGTTTCTTCTGAGGCTTCTTTCCTTGGATTGCAGATGGCCACCTTCTTGCTGTGTCCTCACCTGGTAGTCCGTCTGCATGTAAATGTACCTGGTGTCTCTCTCTCTATGTCCAAGTTTCCTCTTATAGGGACACAGGTCATATTGCATTAGGGCCCACCTCTAATGACCCCATTTAACCTTAATTACCAAATATATAGTCATATTTTGTCATACTAGGGAGTTAGGATTTCAACATATGAATTGAGAGTTCAGCCCAAACAAATGGGGTAGCTTGTTTCTGTCCAGTTATGAGAGTATAATTAAGATTAGAGTGGGTTGAGGACTATGGATGTGAAGTAGTAAAGAACACAAATGGAATTTCTTTGAGAAGTCTTTATATGAGGAGAGAGTGTTTTCTTTGAGAATTTCTTTGAGAAGTCTTTATATGAGCAAGAGTAGTGCTTCTTAAGCTATCTGTCATTGATCTTTGAAATTTCCAATTCATTGTGAATTAATAATTTCTTGAAATACAATAAAAATAAATTCTTAGAAATTTAAAATTTTAAGTGACATACAAAATATAAGTTTAAATATCTTAGATTTAACAGACATAAAATTACTGTGAGATTTCTCAATCATATTCTCAACTTTTATACTTATCTCATAGAGGTGAAGATCAGTTTATGGACACTCACCAAGTAACATTTTGAAGTCTATGTATGGGAGTGAAAGGAGAATATTAATAATAATAATATTATTATTATCATATCATCATCATCATCATTATTTTTGCATTGAGGCCTTACTCTGTTGCCCAGATTGGAGTGCAGTGGCACAATCATGTCTCACACCAGCCTCAACTTGCTGAGCTCAGATGATCCTCTTGCCTTAGACTCCCAATTAGTTGGGACTACAGGCACAGGCCACCATACCCAGCTGATTTTTTAAATTTTTCATAGGGACAGGATCTCATTATGTTGCCTAGGCTGATCTCAAACTCCTGGGTCAAGTAATCTTCCTTCTTCAGCCTCCCAAAGTGCTGGGATTACAGGCGTGAGCCACCATGCCCAGCCTGATTTTTTTTTTTTTAAAGGAAAGGCTTAAACAAGTTTCAAAGATGATTGAAGACTTCAGTTAAGAGAATAAAATTAAATATTCAAAAAAGGAAGATCAAATAAGGTTCCTGAGAAGCCAAAGTATAAGATAAAGGATGATTAACCTTAGATGGAAAGAGGAACAGCCATTCTTCTCTAACAGCAGCAAGCCAGCCTAGCTTATATATGAAAAGGGGGGACCCAAAAGAAAACCTAGAATTTATTTACAAAAAAATTGTGTATTTATTCTTACGTGTTAAAATTTCAGTCACCTTCACTCTCTGTTTGATGCAATATACCTATTTTTCCACTGCTCAAAATAGTTTTTGAACTCGTCAATTTTGATGCTCTTTAGTGCTTTGGATAGTTTTTGTTTCATCTCTTCTACATTGGCAAAACGTTTCCCTTTAAGGACTTTTTCATCTGGGGAAACAAACTAAAAAAAAAAAATCGGTTCTGGGTGAAGTGGGGTGAATAGGGAGGATAGGGCATAGGGACCATGTCATTTTTTTGTCAAAAACTGCTGGAAACTCAGTGTGATGTGGTCAGGTTGTTCATGTAAATCGCCCATCTTGAAATGGGCAAATGCATGGAAAGAATCTCCAAAAAAAATTCCCTGAAGCCATTTGCAGCCTCTCACAACAGCACTAGATGTTACACTGATGCTAATAGGTTCCTAGAACACTCATCTAGTAGAGGAAGCCCGTACCACAAGGGGCCCAGCCTCCAAAAGATAATTCTGGATTTTTTGGGGGGGTCCCCTCTCATAGGTAAGATAAGGAAGTTACTTTCTGATGTCATCTGTTTTGTCTGAAGTATAAAATCAGGTCATTTTCTAAGAGTGAAGCCTGATGAATAGGGCAAGCAGTTTGAGGAGACGGAGGACTGGCAACAGTGGAGCCAAAGAAAAGAGTAGAATTTCCTGGTGGTCTGAAGCCACTGGAAGTTGCTGATTATGAATTGATAGTAGAGTCAGGCTACCATTACATCCCCTTTCTATAGGCGTGCAAAAAAAAAAGTTGGAATTACCCATGACTGGAATTCTACTAAACAAGAGCAAAATAAGATAATATTGCTGAAAGAGTGATTTAAATCCTTAATCAGAGAATGTTCCTTCTATGCTTTTATTGGCTTCTCGTTTCTTCCAGACTCCTGTCTGTGGCCTAGCTTCCTCTCAAGAGCCCAACTAGTACACTCTTTTCCACACTTCCTGCTCTCTAGTCATGCCAGATTTCTTTTTGTTCTTGGAAAATACCAACCTCCCACCTTAGGATCTTTACCCCATCTTGAGTCATATGTCATCATCTCAGAGGAGCCTTTTCTGACACCTGAATCTCCTCCCTTTCTGTCCTCCTGTTACTGTCTATCTTCTGACACCATTTATTTTTCATTCATACAGCATTTATCTCACCCTAAAGTTACCTTGTTTATTTATTCGTTTATCGTCTGTCTTCTCCCCTAGAATGTAGTTCAGTAGGGCCAAGGGTGTTCACTTGTTCCCCAGTGTACTTGGATTGCTTAGAGCAGTGCCTGGCATACAGAGGAAACTCAATAAATAATGAATGAATAGAAAAGAAAGGAGAAAAGGAATACAGAGAGAAGAAAAAAGTGATGGTCCATGGGTTTAAATTGCATAAAGTATGTCATAAAGAAAAAAGGAGGAGGACTGGTGAAGTAGAGGATTAATCTTGGAGATCTTGATGAGGTTGGAAAACTTTTGTAGTAGGAGTAAACAAAAAAAAAGGGAAGTGTGGTCTGAGAGTACAAACCTTACATTAATGATTCTGAGAGAAGAGCAGATATAGGTGATATCAGAATTTGAAATACAATCTTAGGAGTGGTACTTGACATGGAGTGGAGGAGGGGAGGTCAAGAAGCTAAGAGATGAGGGCAATCCATGTGGATGTTGAGGTTACAGTATGATAGCAGGGCTCAGGGCAGACCAAATGCCACAGTTGTGGGTGAATGAGAAAGCAAGTAGGAGCTCATTAGGTGAGAGAAATGAGTGTGACCTACCGAATAGCATGAACTTCAAAAGAACAAGTTTTTTTGTGTTGTTTGTTTTTTAGAACAGGCTTTTTAAAAGGAATAATAATGACCTGGAAGCATAAATGACAGTAGAACCCTATCTTTTGGCCCAGTTTATTTTTAAAGAAAACCGTAATTTCAAATAGCTGAAAGGAAAGTAATGTCAGCAGAAGAAAACCAGCTTTATGGAGGTGGCAGAAAAACTTGGGAGCAGAGGTTTGTGGTACAGGAGCATTTTCAGGTTGTAAAGAATGGGTCTAGAGGCATAGTGGAAAGGACTGGAAAGTAGCAGAATATGGAGAGCTCCATGGGAGGTACAGAACCTCAAGGATGGCCATGAACTCTAAAAGCTGGGTGAGTGACATGGTGTATTTGGCCTCAGCTGGCAATCTAAGGAAAGTGAGACAAAGCCTGGTGGCCAGAGGACCTGTCTGACTTGCCCAGAATGATGATTTTCCCTGAAGTCACAGTCCCAAAATGCTGCCTAGCCTAGATGAAAGGGAATGTTAAACTGTACATTCTGAACACATACTGCTATTTTTTCATATGGGTTATTTAATATATTTTTGCCCAGGGTGATGTTGACTTTTCAAATGTATGGATTTTCTTGTTTTACTTTTTTTTTTTAGTTTGTGGTTTTACTCTGTTGCCCAGGCCAGAGTGTGGTGGTACAATCATGACTCACTTAACCTCGAACTCCTGGGCTCAAGCAGTCCTGCTTCCTCAGCCTCAGTAGCTAGGACTACAGGTGTATACCTGGTTAATTTTTTTTTTATAGAGATGAGGTCTTGCTATGTTGCCCTGTCTCAGTTTGAGGCTGATCTCAAACTCCCAGGCTCAAGCAATCCTCCCCCCTCAGGCTCCCAAAGTGCTGAGAGCCTGTTTACTTTTAATGGTGATAAATGTTTTGTGTATTTAGACAAAAGTAGAGACTTTTGTCATGCTTGGGAAGACATTCCCAAGAGATATAAAAGAAGTACCCCAGTATTATTGAATGTTCACTTGTTTGCCCCAGTACTTTGTGATTTCATCTTCAGTATTTAAATATTACTCTTCTGGAATATATATTTTTATGTATTGTCTTTTATACTAATGTATTTTATATGTTTCTTAAATGCATCCTATATTTTTCCTAAGTGACTAAACTATTCTATTTTAAACACTTCCTTTTTTATTGTATATTTTCTTGCTTGTTTTATTTATTTGGAAATTCTGTTTAAGACAAAGTCTGTAAACTCTGCCTTATTTAGTGCTCAGTGAATTACCGCCTACTATTTTTCTGTTTTAAGAGCCATATTAAAATATGTTTAAAATTACTAGTTGTATCTATTAAAATTACAAACGGACATACCCTTTGGTTCAGAAATGCCACTTCTAATAATTTATCTAAAAATATATATATTCATAGATATGAAATTATGCCTGTACAAAACTTTTCATTGCTGCATTTTTTTGTGTAAAGGAAAAGTCTGGAAGCAACCTAAATTTCCATCAGTAGAGAAACTTATTAAATAAATTAGAGTACATTCATACAGTGAAAAACTATAATATTTTTTTAAATGAGGAAACACTTTATATGCTAATAGAGAATCTTCATCTTTATAATGAAAAAAAGTCAGACACAGTAGTACATATAGGAAGTATACTCCTAACTTGTATAGACTTAAAATATCTTACTGCTGATATTGCTTACCTGCAAAGAAGGAAACTGGTTGGTTAAGGGACAGACTGGTTGTACTTTGTGAATTTTGAACCACGGGTATATTACCTAGTCAAAAATAAATAAGATTTTAAAAGGTAAAATGAAACTACATATTGAAATATAATTTTTATTTTTTATTTTTTTCTAAATTGAGCTAATTAACATATGCATTACCACACATGCTTATCTTTTTTTGTGTGGTGAGAACACTTAAAATTTACTCTTAGCAGTTTTCTCAGAAGTACAATTCATTGTTATTAACTGTAGTCATCATTTTGTATAGCAGATATCTTAAACTTCTTCCTATTTTTATAATTCTAGAAAGAGAATGGAACAATTGAAAATTAGTAGTGTCAACATTTTTAAAAAAGCCAAATTCCAAGCTAAAATTTTCAAAGATGAGAGGTTAAAAATTTTTTCCCCCCTCTCTCTTTTATGACTACAGGGAGTGTGCAACAATCAATTAACCGCAAACAAAGCTGGAAAGGTTCTAAAGAATCCTTAGTTCCTCAGAGACATGGCCCATCACTAGGAGAAAGTGTGGCTTATCATTCTGAAAGTCCCAGCTCGCAGACAGATGTTGGAAGGCCTTTGTCTGGATCTGGTATAACATCATTTGCTCAAGCTCACCCTAGCAACGGACAGAGAGTGAACCCCCCACCACCACCTCAAGTAAGGAGTGTCACTCCTCCACCACCTCCAAGAGGCCAGACTCCTCCTCCAAGAGGTACAACTCCACCTCCCCCTACATGGGAACCAAACTCTCAAACAAAGCGCTATTCTGGGAACATGGAATATGTAATCTCCCGAATCTCTCCCGTTCCACCTGGGGCATGGCAGGAGGGCTATCCTCCACCACCTCTTAACACATCCCCAATGAATCCTCCTAATCAGGCACAGAGAGGCATTAATTCTGTTCCTGTTGGCAGGCAACCAATCATTATGCAGAGTTCTAGCAAATTTAACTTTCCACCAGGGAGACCTGGAATTCAGAATGGCAGTGGTCAAACTGATTTTATGATGCACCAAAATGTTGTCCCTGCTGGCACTGTGAATCGGCAGCCACCTCCTCCATATCCTCTGACCCCAACTAATGGACAAAGCCCTTCTGCTTTACAAACAGGGGGATCTGCTGCTCCCTCATCATATACAAATGGAAATATTCCTCAGTCTATGATGGTGCCAAACAGAAATAGTCATAACATAGAACTGTATAACATTAATGTACCTGGACTGCAAACAAATTGGCCTCAGTCATCTTCTGCTCCAGCCCAGTCATCCCCAAGCAGCGGGCATGAAATCCCTACATGGCAACCTAACATACCAGTGAGGTCAAATTCTTTTAATAACCCACTAGGAAATAGAGCAAGTCACTCTGCTAATTCTCAGCCTTCAGCTACAACAGTCACTGCAATTACACCAGCTCCTATTCAACAGCCTGTGAAAAGCATGCGTGTGTTAAAACCAGAACTACAGACTGCTTTAGCCCCTACACACCCTTCCTGGATACCACAGCCTATTCAAACTGCTCAACCCGGTCCTTTTTCTGAGGGGACCACTTCAAATATGACTGTTATGCCACCTGTTGCTGAAGCTCCGAACTATCAAGGGCCACCACCACCCTATCCAAAACATCTGCTACACCACAACCCATCTGTTCCGCCATATGAATCCATCAATAAACCTAGCAAAGAGGACCAACCTAGCTTGCCCAAGGAAGACGAGGGTGAAAAAAGTTTTGAAAATGTCGATAGTGGGGATAAAGAAAAGAAACAGATTACAACTTCACCCATCACCGTAAGGAAAAACAAGAAAGATGAAGAGCGAAGGGAATCTCGTATTCAAAGTTATTCTCCTCAGGCATTTAAATTCTTTATGGAGCAACATGTAGAAAATGTACTCAAATCTCATCAGCAACGTCTACATCGTAAAAAACAATTAGAAAATGAAATGATGCGGGTAAAACCTTTTAAAATGTCCATTTTTATACTTGATCACCTGTTTGCTGTTTATTTTAAGATGTTGTGCTGCAGTGCCTTTTTCTTCTTAAAACTAAATACAATACATTGTCAATTACAGAATTTAAAAGTGAGTAAATATTAAAGTACTTTGATTATAGTATTTTATTTTAGTATTTCAAGATTTACTCTGAATTTCCTATAATAAAGTTCTTGTGTAAATTTTTAAAAATACAATTTATGGCATGCAGTTTAGGCACACATAATCCCTTTATATGGAGATTCGAGCAAGGGTTGTTTTCTATACTTTGTACATTATCTTACAACATTTTTTAAAAACTAGAAATATGTCGGTCCCATCACTTGATACACTTATAAGACATTTCTTTTTACTTATAGTACGTTTTGGGGCTTATAGGTTTTATTCGTCATATAGGTCTTATTAGAAAATATCATGGTTAAAATGATGAATTTTATGTAAATTTCACCTTAATTAATAACAAAATCAAGGGGAACAAAGTGTCAGAGAAATCTCCCTTCTAATTTAATTTTTATTAGGTACTGAAGAAAAGTGTGCTGAAATTATTAAGCCAAACTATACTAAAAGGAGACCAGAATAAGTGAACATTCACTTTAATCTGTATGTGATTCTCCACAGAACTTTTTACTACATATTTTGGTATTGCTATCATCATCATTATTGTTGTTATCATTACATACTCAGAGTTCATAGATTTGACTCCAAATCTTACATCTGTCACTCAAAATCCAAGTTGAAACTTGTGCTTGAACTTATTTACATACTTGACAGAGCTATTCTTCTAAAATGATTTTTTTCCAAATCTGATTTTACAATATTATTTCTGCTATAAATTGAATTTTGTTAGATGACAAGTATCATGATAATCTCTATGACTTATTCATATTTTAGTTCTTAGGATTTCTTACTAAAGTCTATCTGTATGTATTTTCTTAGTTTATTTTTCCTTTTTCCTCTTCACTTTCACTAATAGCTGATTTAAACTTTTATGGTGTTGGAAGCTTTGCAGACTTCTGTAGTCTTCATTACTGTGTAGGCAAGTAAGATTTTAAGAGAAACAGTTCTATACTAAGTCTAGCATGCCACCCATCTTAAAAGATTTTGCATGCAAATGTGCATCCTAACAGAAGCATGAGGTTGCCATATTTTAATTAGTCGTGCATTTCTAGTATTAGATCTTACTTTTCCAGTTGACTTCCTTTTCTATTTAAACTCTTTAATTAGTTCATTAATTAGCCAAAAGAAACTGCTCCACTCTGCTAAATTCAGATATTCCATATCTATCTAACAGTTGACTTTTGTTTTTATCTGTTTTTTGGTATTTTCAGAAGTCACACTGACTGTTCTTTTAAATAAGCCAAAATATCTACCTTGTAGCCAAATAGGTTGTTCCTTTTAAATGAGATAGGAGAAACCCTTTGCATTTTGTGTTAGTGGTAGGATGAATCCCACCTTTACTCTAATGCCCTGAGAAAAATAAAAGGAAAGACTATTGACTATTATGTATTTATTGAAAATGGGAAAAGGATTGGTGGGCTAGAAAAAGGATTCTTTTGTTGTTCTTAATATGTCCATTTTTTTAGAATAAATGAGCCTGGAGTAGAATAATTTTTATTTATGAAGGATAAAATAGAAAGATGATTATTTGAGGAAGATTATCTAATCATATAATTTGTGTTGAATATGCATGGAGAGATAGATAGGATGCATGTTCACAGATGTTCATATCACACTAGGAACATTTTTTTGGAGTGCATTAGAGGAGAGTAGAAAGCTGACTGTGGTATCCTCTTCTTGCTCCCCACAGCTGAATTTGCATATATACTCATTTTGTATATCCTGATAACTACCTCTTAAGCCGTACTTTTGATCATTAATTTTCTCTGAAATGTATTCTAGATTTCTAACATGCTTTATTAAAAATTATGCATTTAACCTTTAAATATATGCCTGAATTTTTTCCAAGCTATTTAATACTTAATATTGAAGAAGTTAATTCCTCATTTAACATGTAGTTTATTTGCCTAGGTTGGATTATCTCAAGATGCCCAGGATCAAATGAGAAAGATGCTTTGCCAAAAAGAGTCTAATTACATTCGTCTTAAGAGGGCTAAAATGGACAAGTCTATGTTTGTGAAGATAAAGACATTGGGAATAGGAGCATTTGGTGAAGTCTGTCTAGCAAGAAAAGTAGATACTAAAGCTTTGTATGCAACAAAAACTCTCCGAAAGAAAGATGTTCTGCTTCGAAATCAAGTTGCTCATGTTAAAGCTGAGAGAGATATCCTGGCTGAAGCTGACAATGAATGGGTAGTTCGTCTATATTATTCATTCCAAGATAAGGACAATTTATACTTTGTAATGGACTATATTCCTGGGGGTGATATGATGAGCCTATTAATTAGAATGGGCATCTTTCCAGAAAATCTGGCAAGATTCTACATAGCAGAACTTACCTGTGCAGTCGAAAGTGTTCATAAAATGGGTTTTATTCATAGAGATATTAAACCTGATAATATTTTGATTGATCGTGATGGTCATATTAAATTGACTGACTTCGGCCTCTGCACTGGCTTCAGATGGACACATGATTCTAAGTACTATCAGAGTGGTAAGTAAACTCATAAAATTTACTTTAGTGCCAGTTGCAGTGGCTCACGCCTGTAATTCCAGCACTTTGGGAGGCCAAAGTGAAAGGATTGCCTGAGTTCAGGGGAGCCTAGGCAACTTGGTGACACTTCGTTTCTACAATAAATAAAAAATTTAGCCATGTGTGGTGGCACGTGCCCGTAGTTCCAGCTACTTGGAAGACTGAGGTGGAAGGATCGCCTGAGTCTAGCAGGTCGAGGTTGTGGTAGCCATGATCATGCCACTGTACTCCAACGTGAGCAACAAGAGTGAGACTATGACGCCAAAAACAACTTTTTATTTGAGTTCATAATAATGTGATTTATTGATACAGTAAAATATAAAATGGTATCACTGGATGGGAGCCAGAAGACCTGGGTCAGCTCTTGAGTCTATTGGGTAGATCCTTCAGGTGCTTAGATTAATAAATGAAAAAATGTGTTACATTTGATTACTTCTAAATATTAACATTTTTTAGTCAAACCCTTTATATTGTGTTATTTTGAAGTGTGTCAGACAAAAACATTTCAAAAATAATTTTTATATTAAGCTCCATATCCACTCGAGTTTAAGAACTACAGTTATCAGTACTTTAGAAGCCACTAAACAATCACTTCCCCTTTTCTTCTCCACAGATAATCAGTGTTTCATAACTTTGTAGTTAGTTCTTTATTTTTCTCTATACTTTTACCACATATGCATACATACCTGAACAGTATATTATTTCATTTTGCCTACTCTTGAGTCTTTATTTAATCATAATCATTTTATATATCTGCTTCATGTTGATTTCTTTTACATATGTTTGAGAACATGTTTACATATGTTCTCCATGTTATTGCATGTAACATTTATTTTCATTGCTTTTAGTATTCCATTATGTGACTTACACAACTTATTTAACCTTATGCATTTCATGTACTTGATTCTGTTTAATCCTCACAGTGTCGCTGATGAGACAGGATAAAGAAACAGACCTAGTTAGTTGAAGTAACTTGTCCAAGGTCAGACAGAAATTTAAGTGTAAGGGCTAGGCTTTAAACCCAGGTTTGTCTGATTACAGGGCCCATGGTATTTCTACTAAACTACACTGCCTCCCAAGATCCCCTCAAGCACTAATGGAAGTGTAAGTTGATCTAACATTGTTGAAAACTTACATAGTACTATGTACTAGATTCTTTACATGCAGTATATTCTAATTTAATGTTCACAACAGTTGTCTGAGGTATTAGCCTCCTGGGCTTCTCTGAACACAAGTAGATTGACATTAAATGGAGATAGAATTAAGACACCTGAACCTCCTTTAATGTACAGCATAATGGAATTTTAGTGTCTCCATGGATTCACGTGAATTATTACTTGGAGATCTTCTTTAAAAATGATTCCTAACTGGGCTTGGTGGCTCAGCCTGTAATCCCGTGCCTTTGGGAGGCTGAGGTGAGTGGATTGCCTGAGCCTGCGGGTTCGAGACCCGCCTGGGCAGCGAGACCTCATCTCTACAATAAATCAAAAAATCAGCCGGTTGTGGTAACGTGCGCCTGTAATTCCAGCTACTTGTAAGGCTGAGGCAGAAGGGTCGCCAGGGCCCAGCAGGTCAAGGCTGCGGTGGCTGGAAGCGGCCACGGCACTCCAGTCTGGGCGACAGAGTGAGACTCCAACTCAAAAAAGAAAAAATGATTCCTAGGTTCTATTCCAGTCTTTTAATAAAAAATCTTCACTGGAGGATGGAAACCATGTTTTAATCAAGCATCCTAGATGATCATTACCATTATATTAATTTCAGATACATTTCTCTAGGTGACTTCATCCTATTATGACTTTCAATACCATCTATGTCAATAACTTCCAAATCTCTCTCAACAGAAAGTCTTTCCCAGAAATTCCTAATTTCTCTATCCAGATGCTTAATGGATATCTTCACATGGATTTCAATGGGCCTTTCAAACTTAATGTTACCAATAAAGAACTCTTAATTACCACCCCATATCTGCTCCTCTTTAGTCTGACCCCCATTTTAATAAATTGTGCCACCACAGCCCAACTAATTGTCTTGTTTCTTTTTCCTATGCCCTGTACATCTAATCTATCAACAAGTCCTGTTTACTCCGCCTCTAAAATCCTGGAATGCACAGCCTATAATAGCCTCTTAATGTGTCTCTGGTTTTTACTTTTTTGTCCTCATAAACTTCTCCATAGGGCAGCCAAAGTTTTCTTTTTTTAAATATAAACCAGATCTTTTCATCTTCTTGCTTCAGACTCTCCAATATCTTTTTATTGTACTGGAAATAAAAGGCAAACCATTTCTATTGCTTGCAGAACCCATATGCATTGGCTACTGCTCCATTTTCTACCATTATCTCCTTATTCTCTCTGTTTCTGTTGCTTCTGTGTGAAATGCCTTACCCTGGTTTGCAAATGGTTTGAGTTCTGTAGCAAAAGTTATCTTCTCAATTGATCCCTAGCCATTCAGTCTAATGCAGCTGTACAGTCATATTTGTCATATTACCTTGTTGATTCTCTATGTAGGACATATCACTTTTTCTTGTGTTTCTTTCCCTACTGGACTATAACCTGCCTGACAAAAGAACTTGTCTTTCTTATTATCAATGGCATTTGTTGAATAAAACGCTGATCTAATTTGTTTGAAAGTTTGTTTAGAGTAGTAATGGGGAGTGGTCTAAAAAACTGATTCTTAATCTACTCTTGACTTATGCTGCTGTCATTTAACGTTAAGTAAATTACTGGATCTTGGGCTAATTTTTTTTAATGTAAAACTTTTGCTGTTGATTCTCTCAGAAAGCAAACTCTAGTCGGTAATAAACACCATCAGTGATTTGGCATATGTTGTGTCTTAGTTTGTCACAAGGGAGAATGATAACCCTAAACCATGATGTTAAAGACTTTAGATTTACTGTTGTTGTTATTTTTTACTGTACAGGTGACCATCCACGGCAAGATAGCATGGATTTCAGTAATGAATGGGGTGATCCCTCGAACTGTCGATGTGGAGATAGACTGAAGCCACTAGAACGAAGAGCTGCACGCCAGCACCAGAGATGTCTAGCACATTCTTTGGTTGGGACTCCCAATTATATTGCTCCTGAAGTATTGCTACGAACAGGTAGAGCACTTGTTTCATAAATAATCTCAGCAGGCCTTTAGACCAGACAAAACTTACATTAGAATATGCCTTATTTTTCATGTTTATAATAAAAATATTACTTTTAGCTAGGCTCAGTGGCTCAACCTGTAATCCCAGCGCTTTAGGAGGCTGAGGTGAGTGGATTGCCTGAGCCCGCAGGTTTGAGACCCGCCTGGGCAACTTGGTGAGACTTCATCTCTACAATAAATCAAAAATTAGCCAAGCGTGATAGCATGTGCCTGTAGTTTCAGCTACTTGGAAGGTTGAGGCAGAAGAATCTCCAGAGTCCAGCAAGTCGAGGCTGCAGTGGCCAGGAGTGGCCACTGCACTCCAGTCTGAGTGACAGAGTGAGACTCCAACTCAAAAAAAAAAATTACTTTTACAGTATAAATTGGTGATTTAATAATAATTTTGATTGTATTCTGAGAATTTTTTAAGTGCTTATGAATAACAGTAGCTTCGGTATCTTATTTCAGGATACACACAGTTATGTGATTGGTGGAGCGTTGGTGTTATTCTTTTTGAAATGTTGGTGGGACAGCCTCCTTTCTTAGCACAAACACCATTAGAAACACAAATGAAGGTAAGGTATAGAATCTATCTCAAAAGAATTGTCACAAAGTCCCTACACTGTAGACATTAATTTATTAGTACTTCACTTAGAACATTTTAATGTGGAGTTAAATAATGAACTTGTAAGCATATATGAACCACTTATATTGCATGAATATTGTGTGAACTCAGTCTCCATCATCCTGCTGTCACCATACTCTTATATCCTCCCTCACTCACACACTGTACTCATTTCATTCTTAAAAAGTCTTTACTCCATTTTGAAGATTGATTCCAACTTACTCCTTGTAAGCCACTGCCTTCTGGCTTTGTCTTCTTCCATGTACATTCTAGCCCCAAACTACAAACAAATGTCTAGGCCTCCACTGGCACTTAAATGAGAAGCTACCCACAATTTTGACCCTATATTATCCCATTTAAAACCCATTAGTGGGACAGGTGTGGTGGCTCACGCCTGTAATCCCAGCACATTGGGAGACAGAGGCAAGAGGACTGCCTGAGCTCAGGGGTTCAAGACCAGCCTGGGCAATTTGACTAGACCTTGTTTCTACTGTAAGTCAGAAAATTAGCTGGGTGTAGTGATGCATGCCTGTAGTTTCAGCCACTTGGAAGGCCAAGGCAAAAGGACCACCTGAGCCCAGCAGGTTGAGGCTCTGGTGGCTGTGAGCACGCTACCACACTCCAGCCTGGGTGGCAGAGTGAGATACCAACTCTAAAAAACAAAAAGCCCATTAGTGATTCCTTTGCCCATGGTTTAAACTCCCAGTTTGCCCTCTGTTAATACCATCCACTCTGTCTGGAATGTCCTACCTCCTTCCCTCCCTTCTCCCATCTTCTACAACTCTCCTTCCTTTCTGAAGCCTGGTTAACTTTTGATCTTTCTTAATTATTCTTTGAGAGTATCCTGAGATAACTTTTCTATGATTTCTTCCTCTCTTTAAGTTGTAACTTCTTCTGTCATTGCATTTAATATATTATATTTTAAAACATTTTAGAATTTCTTGTTGTGTAGGTCTGCTGGTAGTATATTCTCTCAGATTTGTGTCAGGTATATCTAAAAATGTTTTTATTTTGCCTTCATTTGAATAAGTGTGAAAGAGAAAGAGAAGTTGTATACTTTCTCCCTAAGATTGAGAAAAGGCATTCTCATCAATTTTGTGTTTTGGAGATCTTAGCCAATGCAGTACAGCAATGGAAAGAAATAAAAGGCAAAATTGGAAATGAAGAAATAAAAATTTCTCCTATTTACACATGACATAGTTTTCTATATAGAAAATCCCAGGGAATCTACAAAAAACTTACAGGACCAATAAGTGAGTGAAGCAGGTTATAGGATACAAGTCTAACACATAAAAACCTATTGTATTTCTACATTGCAGCAATGAACTAGAAACTGACATTTAAAAACAATACTGTTTATAGTAGCACCTCCAAAGTGAAATAACTTAGGTATAAATCTAACAGCATGAACAAGATCTCTATGCAAAATGCTACTGAAAGAATAAAAAAAAAATCTAAGTAAGTGTAGGCACATACCTTGTTTATTGATTGGAAGAGTCAGTGTAGTAGGCTGGATGCGGTGGCTCAAGCCTATAATCCCAGCACTTTGGGAGGCCGAGGTGAGAGGATTACCTGAGCCCACAGGTTCGAGACCAGCCTGGGCAACATGGTAGGTGTGGTAGCGTGCACCTGTAGTTCAAGCTACTTGGAAGGCTGAGGCGGAAGGATCGCTTGAGCCCAGCAGGTCAAGGCTACAGTAGCCGGGATTGTGCCACTGTACTCCAGCCTGGGCAGCAGAGTGAGATTCCAACTCAAAAAAAAAAAATGTAGTAAAGCTGTAAATTCTCTAATTAATATGTAGACTTAATTCCAATAAAAGGATTCGGTGGAATTTTTGTAAATTTAGCTGAACTGATTCTAAAATTTATATGAATGGACAAGGGAAGTAAAATAGCAAAAACAAATTTTATTTTTTGAGACAGAATCTCACTGTGTCACTCAGGTTGGAGTGCAGTGGCACAATCACAGCTCACTGCAGCCTCACCCTCCTGGTCTCACGAGACCCTCCCACCTCAGCCTCCCAAGTAACTGGCACTACAGGCATGCACTACCACACCTGGCTAATTTTTTGAATGATTTTGAAAAATTTTTGAGAATTTTTAAGAACAAAGTTGGAGGAATCAACTACTTGATTTTAAGATTTACTGTGAAGTTCCAGTAATCCAGACAGTGTGGTAGTGACAAAAGGAAACACAGATAGATCAATGGAAAAGAATAGAGAATACAGACATAGGACCACACCAGTATGGCCATTTGATCCTTGATAAAGTTACAAATAGAGAAAGAATAGTCTTTCAACAAATGGTGTTGGAAAAACTGGTCAGCCATATTTTAAAAATTGAATCTCAGCTGACTTCACATCTTACACAGAGGTTAATGCAAATTAGATCATACATATAGATTTAAAACACAAAGCTAAAGCCAAGCATGGAGGCTCATGCCTGTAATCCTAGCACTGGGAGGCTAAGGTGAGGGGGTAGCTTCAATCCCTGGGCTCCAGACCAGCCTGAGCAACATAGTGAGACCTTATCTCCATAAAATAGAAAATTAGCCCGATGTGGTGGCTTGCACCTGGAGTCCCAGCTACTTTGAAGGCTGAGGCAGGAGGATCACTTGAGGCCAGGAATTAGAGGCAGAAATGAGCTATGATTGTACCACTACACTCCAGCTTAAGTGACAGAGTGAGAACTTGTCTCTAAAAAAAAGAAATTTATAATACTTTAAAAAGAAAGCATAGGAGAAAATCTTTGTGGGCTGTGTTAGGTAAAGAGTTCTTAGATATGACACCAAGCCGTGCTCGGTGGCTCAGCCTGTAATCCCGCGCCTTTGGGAGGCTGAGGTGAGTGGATTGCCTGAGCCCGCGGGTTCGAGACCCGCCTGGGCAGTGAGACCTCATCTCTACAATAAATCAAAAAATCAGCCGGGCGTGGTAGCGCATGCCTGTAATTCCGGCTACTCAGAAGGCTGAGGCGGAAGGATCGCCGGAGCCCAGCAGGTGAGGCTGCGGTGGTCGGGAGCGGCCGCTGCACTCCAGTCTGGGCGACCGAGTGAGACTCCAACTCAAAAAGAAAAAAAAAAAAAAGAAATGACACCAAAATCATGAACCATATATCAAAATTAAGAATTGAGACATAGTCAAGAGAATAAAAGATAAGCTACAGACTGGAAAAAATTTTTGCAAATCACATCCAAGAAAGAACTTTGTGTACAGCATATAAAGAACCTTCAAAATTCAACAGTAACAAAACAACCCAAACCAGTGTCTTGACAGATTTCCTTGAAGGTCTTGGGTCAAAAAAAGGGTCTCTGTCTCTTTAGATCTTCCAGAGTGAGTAGAAAGGAAAACAGGCATCTGGGCTGGTCTCTCAGGGAATTACCAAGACCAACCAAAATGTACAATCTCAAATTTTTGGAGGGCAAAGTTCTTACTGCCCACCTTGCTACTAGCCACTAACCAGCTGCCCCAGGAAGGCAGGCTGTGGTCTTTGTGACCACAGCGAGACTGAGGAAGGGCAGATTCACACATGTCGATGTCTTACCAAATTTTAGCAGCTTCTCCCTTTATGAAGCACTTCCCTGGTTGCTGTAAGTGTCTGATCAGGTTCCAGAGTTCCAAAATTGTTTATTCTGATAATCTTTCCAGTTTAATGATTGTTTGTATGGAACGGCAAACCCCTTGTACTTCCTACTCTGCCATTTTCTTTGGCATCTCCCTCCATTGTATTTTTTACTATTATCTCTTTGTACAGTTTTGTTTGTGCTTGCTCTGATGACTACAAAATACTTACTAAATTTTCCTGTCTTAGAATTGATATTTTACCACTTTAAGTTCAGTGTACAGCCTTACTGCCATATTGGTCCCTTTGTTCTCTTTGTTGTAGTTATTTTATACATTACATCTACATTGGTTTAAAACAACATCCAGCAATGCAACAATTTTTGCTTTTCAACCATCAAGTTATTTTAAAGAACTCAAGATGAGAATAGTTATTTATACAGGATATTTAGCGTTTTCCTTGATCTTCCTGCCCTGCGTTCTATATATACTAAAAAAGGTGTGTGTGTGTGTGTGTGTGTGTGTGTGTGTGTAAGGCTGGGCACGGTGGCTCAAACCTGTAATCCCAACACTTTGGGAGGCTGAAGTGAGAGGATTACATGAGCTCAGGAGTTCGAGACCAGCCTGGGCAACTTGGTGAGCCCTCATCTCTACAATAAATTAAAAGAGTATATATATGTACTTTTTTGGGGTGATTGGGATCTTACTTTGTCACCCAGGCTAAAGTGCAGTGGAAAGAGCATGGTGTACCACAGCCTTGACTTCTGGACTTAGGTAATTCTTCCACCTCAGTGTCCTGAGTAGCTGGGACTACAGATGTGCACCACCATGCCCTGCTGATTTTTTTTTTATTTTTGTAGAGACAATGTCTCATTATGTTGCCTAGGCTGGTATTGAACTCCTGGGCTGAAGTGATCCTCCCATGTTGACTTCCCAAAGTGCTGGAATGATGGGAGTGAGCCACCACGCCCAGCCTTGGCTTTCATAATTTAATGAGATATCTGCATTTATTCAAATCCCTCAAGTAGTGCATTATGTTTCTCTAGGTGCTGTCAATTTTTCTTTAGCTTTCTTTATTATAATTATGATTTATCTGGACATGGAACTCTTACATTTTATCCTATTAAGTGTTCACCTAGCATTTTGAATCTAGATTTATGTCTTTCATCAAAATTAGGGCATGTTCAGCCATCATTTCTTCAAGTATTTTTCTGTACCACATTTTTCTTGTGACTTAAATTACAGGAAGTATATCTTATGGTATACTTCCAGACTCCTGAGGTTCTACTCATATTTTAAATCCTTATTCTCTCTGCTATTCCAGATGCATAATTTCTATCAACCTGTCTCCAAGTTCACCAACTTTTTCTCCTGATGTCTCCCTAATATTGAGCCAATTCATTGAGTTTTCTATGTTAGTTATTTTTCAGTACTAAAATTTCCATTTGCTACTTCTTTGAATTTTCAACTTTGCTGAGACTTTCTGTCTTTCATTTAATGAATGTTCATCCTTATTCGGAGCATTTTTATAATGGCTACTTTAAAGTCTTTGTTAGAAAATTCTAATATCCGTATTATCTGAACACTGACTGTCTTTTCCTATGTGAGTTGACATTTTCCAGGTAATTTTTGGTATGCCAAGATTTTTTTAATTCAGTCCTTCTGAATGTTATGTTATGAGACTTGATCTTGTTTAAATCTTATGGAGAATATTGACATGGTTTTGGCAGACATTAAATGTGGCTAGATTCAAGCTACAAGTTCCAAACCAGCCTTGTGATTTCAATGTCAGTTTCATTTTCAAAGCCTTTTCATTGCTAGGCAGATCTCTCCCTAGGCTGTGCTCTTTTCTTTTTCTTTTTTTTTGAGTTGGAGTCTCACTCTGTCGCCCAGACTGGAGTGCAGTGGCTGCTCCTGGCCACTGCAGCCTCGCCTGCTGGTCTCCGGCAGTCCTTCCGACTCAGCCTTCCAAGTAGCCAGAATTACAGGCATGTGCTACCACGCCTGGCTGATTTTTTAAAAATTTATTGTAGAGATGAGTTCTCACTGCCCAGGAGGGTCTCGAACCCGCGGGCTCAGGCAATCCACTCACCTCAGCTTCCCAAAGGCGCGGGATTACAAGCTCAGCCACCGAGCCCGGCTGCTCTTTTCTTTAATTCAGTTTTCAGTCTTTGGTATTTTCTTTAGGATTAGATCCATGTAGGTGTAGTTTAGAGGGTAACCCTACAGTTCATAAACAATGTTATGGGATCATTCTCCCAGTCCCCCCCTTCTCTATGACAACCCCTATATTTTCCAGTTCCCTAGGGTGCCCACTTTTAGTTCTTTGACCAGAAGATGAGGCTTTATTAACTTCACTCTGCCTGCCATACATGCCTTGTAGCTGCAACTGAAAGGACAAAATGGCAAGAGAACAGAGAGAGAAAACAAGCAACAGAGTTTTAACCTATAATCTTGGGACTCCATGCTGTATGATTTTATTTCCAAATGAGGAGGAAGTTTTCCCTCTCAGAGGTTTAGGCACATACAAGCCCATATTCACCTCTGTTGCATCCAGGGAACTCCTTTTCCACTCCCTGAGCCTGAAGTAGAGAGGCTTCTCCTGGAGTTTTTCTGTCTGTGCTGTGCCCCTTCAAGGTTTTAGGCTAGCATGAGTCCAGGCTGGAGGATATTAAAGGGAAAAAAATGGAGCTGGATACTGTGGCATGTACTTGTATTCCCAGCCACTCGCTGGGAGGCAGGAAGATCACTTGATGCCGGGAGTTCAAAACAAGCCTGGGCAACATAGCGAGATCCCTGTCTCTTATAAACTCACTACCAGGTTCAGTGACACTTCAGATTCTCATCTTCTTTCCCAGTCTGCCTGTTACTATTTACTTTTCAGGGTCCTCATATAGCTGCTTCATGCATTCTGTCTAGGTTTTCTAGCTGCATTCAGTGGGAGAGACAGGAGAATAGTGTACGTAGTACATCTTACTCAGAACTGGGACCTCTCTCTGGCTACTGTTAGGATTTTTTTCTCTTTATCTTTGGTTTTCTGCAGTTTGACCGTAATGTACCTATGTGTAGTTTTCTTTGTATTTTTTGTCCGAGGTTCACTAATCTACAGGTTAATGACTCATCAATTTTGGGAAATTCTCTGTGTTATCTCTTCAGTGATTTCTTTTGCTTGCTTCTTTCATTCTCAGACCCTAATGATTACAAATATGGTATTCATTTGATGTTGCCCTCCATTTCTCTTATGCTTTATTCTTTTTATATTGTATTGTTTTTCTCTCTGTGTTTCAACTTACATAATTTTATTTATCCATCTTTGTAACTGAATCTTTTCTTTTGCTGTGCCAGTATTTTCTTTCACCTTAAACTTAAAAATCTTGAATATAAATATAAAATGAAAAACATGTCCAACTGATTGTATATTTTAATTTTTCTGACTGAAATAAGCAATAGAACTAAGTGAATTAAATAACTATTACTGGCTAGGCGTGATGGCTCACACTTAGTTTTTTTGGGGTTTTTTTTTTTTTTTTTTTTTTTTGAGTTGGAGTCTCACTCTGTTGCCCAGACTGGAGTGCAGTGGCCGCTCCCGGCCACCGCAGCTTCTACCTGCTGGGCTCCGGAGATTCTTCCTCCTCAGCCTTCCAAGTAGGTGGGACTACAGGCACGCCCTACCACGGATGGCTCACACTTGTAATCCCAGCACTTTGGGAGACCGAGGCGGGTGGATTGCTTGAGCCCAGGAATTCGAGACTAGCCTATACAACATAATGAAACCTCATTTCTACAAAAAAATTAGCTGGGCATGGTGGCATGCATCTATAGTCTCAGCTGCTCAAAATGCTGAGTTGGAAGGATCGCCTGAGCCCAGTAGGTAGAGGCTACTGTGAACTATGATCATTGTGACCATGCCACTGCACTCCAACCTGGGTGACAAAGTGAGACCTCCAACTCATAAACAAACAAACAGTCATATTACTAACTATATCATGATTTTTTTTTCCAAAAAGAATTTTTAAATATTCTGTCATTAGTAGTGGTTTCTCCATTTTTCTAACCTGGGATAAGACTTTAAAATGGGCTGGGCACAGTGGCCCACACCTGTAATTCCAGCACTTTGGGAAGCGGAGACAAGAGGATGCCTGAGTGTAGGGGTTCAAGACCAGCCTAGGCAACTTGGTAAGACCTCATCTCTACAATAAATAAAAAAATTAACCAGGCATGGTAGCACACGCCTGTGCCTTGCAGTTACTTGGAAGACTGAGGCAGAAGGATCAATGAGTCAAGCAGGTCAAGACTGTGGTGGCCATGAGTGTGCCACTGCACTCCAGCCTGGGTGACAGAGTGAGACTCCTACTCAAAAAAAGTAAAATAAAATGGACCAGACACAGTGGTTCATGTCTGTAATCCCAGCACTTTGGGAGGCGGAGGTGAGAGGATTGCCTGAGCCCAGGGATTCAAGACCAGCCTGGGAAACATGGTGAGACCTTGTCTCTACAATAAATTAAAAAAATTAGCTGGGTGTGGTGGTGCACACCTGTAGTTCCAGCTACTAGGAAGACTGAGGTGGAAGGATCACCTGAGTCCCGCAGGTAGCGGCTGCCGTGGCCAGGAGTGTGCCACTGCACTCCAGCCTACGTACAGAGTGAGACTCTGACTCAAAAAATAAAAATAAAAAAGACTTTACAATGAACATAGAAGAAAGTGTATATTTTTCTTTCCTCTACGGTAGCTTACTACCTCCTATATGAATAAGGAAGAATGGGGTTCATCTATTCACTCATTTAACAAATGCTTATTGGATGCCTACCATGTGACAAGTTGAAGATGTCTTATCTAGGTTAAATAACAATGCATTCTACCACTTAATAGGGTTTACCCAAAATCCATTTAACATTGTTCTCAGAAGCTTATACCACTTCCCCTGCTTCCAGGAGTTCAGGGGAAAGACTAGCTTCACTTGCCCTTTCTTCTTTTCTCATTCCATTTTATTCAAAATAAGAACAGAGATTTATTAAATACCTCTTAATTATGTGCCAGGCAACTTGCCAAGCACTGGGAAATGCAAGGCCCATGAAAACATAGTTCCTAACTTTAATGGAATTCTATACTCTAGAAGAAGGACATGGACATAAATAAGTTCTACAGGGTATTAGAACTATTATGATAAAAATAAACATATGGTGCAGGGGAGGCAGAGTGAAAGTAGTAATTTCCACCAGAAGCAGAAGGGCTTACTTACCAGGGGAGATAAAAACATACAGTGAGTCTTGTATTGTGAGTGTAAGTTGCCTGGAAAGAAGGGAATCAGAGAAAAAGTTATCTCCCAGTAGTTATTCATTATTAAAAATACAGAGGGTGAAATGATATGCAATTTATTTAAAATACACAAATAGTCCAATAAGACTTTTGGTATAAGACTTAGAGGAAATGTTTGTTTTTCTAATCTTTCTTCCTCCTAATTTTAAAAACTCTTTAAAGGTTATCAATTGGCAAACATCTCTTCACATTCCACCACAAGCTAAACTGAGTCCTGAAGCTTCTGATCTTATTATTAAACTTTGCCGAGGACCAGAAGATCGCTTAGGCAAGAATGGTGCTGATGAAATAAAAGCTCATCCATTTTTTAAAACAATTGATTTCTCCAGTGACCTGAGACAGCAGTCTGCTTCATACATTCCTAAAATCACACACCCAACAGATACATCAAATTTTGATCCTGTTGATCCTGATAAGCTATGGAGTGATGATAATGAGGAAGAAAATGTCAATGACACTCTCAACGGATGGTATAAAAATGGAAAGCATCCTGAGCATGCTTTCTATGAGTTTACCTTTCGGAGGTTTTTTGATGACAATGGTTACCCATATAATTATCCAAAGCCTATTGAATATGAATACATTAATTCACAAAGCTCAGAACAACAGTCGGATGAAGATGATCAGCACAGAGGCTCAGAGATCAAAAATCGAGATCTAGTATATGTTTAACACACTAGTAAATAATTGTAATGAGGATTTGCAAAGGGGCCTGAAATGCAAGGTGTTTTGAGATTCTGAGAGTAAAATTATGCAAATGTGACAGAGTATTTGTGCTCTGTGTACAATATTTTATTTTCCTAAATTATGGGAAATGTTTTTAAAATGTTAATTTATTCCAGCCTTTTAAATCAGTAACTTAGAAAAAAAATTGTTATAAGGAAAGTAAATTATGAACTGAGTACTGTAGTCAGTTCTTGGTACTTAAAGTACTTAAGATAAAAAAAATAATAATGCTTTGTTTAAAAGGAGAAGCCTGGTATCTATTTGTATATATGCTAAATAATTTTAAAAGACAAAATTTTTGAAAGACAGTTTTAGTTTTATTTTGCTTTAACCAAATATGAAGCATAGCCTGTATTTACAGAGCTCTTTGTTCCCCCATAACCTTGTTTTGTTTGGTACAACATAAGTTAGAGAATTTAAGCCATCATGTTGGTGAATGTTCCTATGCTAATGATAATCTGTATAATTCACATCCTGGAACTAAGAAATACAGGGTTGAAACAATGTAATATATTCATCAGAAGGAAAACTAATGCAGTTTATCTTTTTGTTTCCCTCTGTGGAATATTTATCTTCTAGCATTTATTCTCAAGAATTACTGGCTTTAAAAGAAGCCAAAGCACTATTAGTTTTCTTTCCATATTGGTATTTTTAATGCTGCTTCCAGTTTGAAATAGGAACAAAGCTGCCATAAGTCAAAATTTTCAATGTGTTTCAGTGTTTCCACCATCCTAAGCAGAGAAGTTATTTTTAGTTTCATATAAAACTTGGAAATTATTTGGGGGTACTCACTAGAAAAGTACTTTTCCTATATAATTACTGGTTTTGATTATGTCATCAATGTTATAGGTTTTCTCTTTTAGAATAGTGCTGCTTATACAGATTGTTATTGGCAATGGAAAATCTGACTATTTGGCAATATTTTACCTAAGGGCAGATTAATTGGTGGAAAAAAATGACTCTTAATTGAGACAGCCATTAATAATTAGGAAGAGTTCTTACTGGTCTTAGAAAATTCAAGTCCTCTTAACTTATTTAAGGTGAAATAATATGTTTTCGACATACCTGTTACATATAATGCTTAGGTTCTAAGAAAAACTCATGGTTCATACCAAAATACATACATGTAGCTTATCTTTTAGGAAGGGGGAAGGGGCTCTATTCCGACCATAGTAAAGTTTATATATTTTCTTTCTTTCTCTTAAGCTTCACTGATATGGACTTGTGTTTTGTTTGTTTGTTTGTTTGTTTGTTTATCAAAAGTTACTTTTTGTGGATTAGAGGCATAATTTTAGTGATTTTCAAACTTTTCACTTTCTCCATATAAAAGCTAATAGAAACTATACACGTAGTAAACTTAAAGGCAAAGCTGTTCTAGCTGAATTGGAGGGGCAGGGCCAAGATCATTTATGAGCTCACACTTCCCAACTCTCCACAGGAGGTCCTCTCAGAGCTCAGCTTGAAAACCAGTGCTGTGGGTCTTTGGGGGTTACTGGTTCTTTTGAGAATCTGATGAAAGCTGGAGACTCTTCCCAGAAAACACATACACACATCAAGACATACACATAAAATGTTGCATGCAGTTTCAGGGAATTTTGGACACGTTGAAACATGTCACAGACTCTGGGTTAAGGACCTCTGTTCTGTAAGAAAATTGATATATTAAAATAAGAACTTTGCTTTTAATTTACTGATCAGTACTCAAATTAGCACATCTTGTATAAACTGATAATTTCTGATGAAAAAGATATATAGCATGTGATAAGATGACTTTATGAATGCCTCTCTCTTGCTGGTACAACACTAAGATGTTCTAAATACACCATTCTGAGGGCACTGAATTGTGTGGCTTATTACATGTTTTATACAGAATTTTTTTTTTTTTTTTAGTTGGAATCTCACTTTGTTGCCCGTGCTGGAGTGCAGGGCACGCTCACGGCACTGCAGACTCAACCTGCTGGGCTCAGGTGATCCTTCACCTCAGCCTTCCAAGTAGCTGGAACTACAGGGATCTGCCACCACGCCCAGCTAATTTTTTGATTTGTTGTAGAGATGAGGTCTCGCCAAGTTGCCCAGGCTGGTCTCAAACCCGTGGGCTCAGGCAATTCTCTCACTTCAGCGTCCCAAAGTGCTGGGATTATAGGTGTGAGCCACCATGCCCAGCCCAGAATATTTTTGAGGGATTTTTGATTAAAGAATTACAAGAAAATGCACTATAATGAGATGGCAGTCTTCACCTCATGGAACATTTGATTAGTCCTATAAAATCCTATGCAAAACAAAGTAGTTCGAGAATTTTCAGCTTGGTATTCACATTTATAAGATAACCCTCTTGCTCTTTTGCCTTTTTCAGATTTATTTAAATTTTCATTTAGTTGTTTCACTTCTGGACTATGGTGCAATACACTAGAAAATAATTTTGTTACATTTACATTGTAGGAATACTAAGGTGCTGTCTGCTCTCCTTTCTCTTCCCACACAATCTGGATTGCCCCTGTTCCTCAAATGTAACAGACACTACAAATTTTGTATTATTTTAAAATTTCCTCTGACAATGTAAACCTTTTGTGTTTATCTGAAGCAGTACACAAGCCTTTGGTATCTGCAGTTTTAATAGTTTGGATATACATATTAGCTTATCTTTTTCCCAAACTATATCCAGTTCTTCCAGTATAGAATCTGGTGCTTCCTGAACAAAAAGATGAGAACGACAACATAAAACATATAGAAGCTCTCAGTTGAAATGGAGTGAAAACATTGGTTCTACATGTTTTCTTTTTAAATAAATTTCTCATTTAAAAAATTTGCTGTCTTTCTTATACTTACCCCTTTTTATGCATATCAATAGTATTTATAAAATGTATTCTATAATTATGTAATTGTAGATACTGTTATGTATTGTCCAGTGACATCCTAAGGCAGGCCCTATTGCTGTATCTTTTCTACCTTCTTATTTGTAATAGAAACTAGAATGTATGACTAAGAAGTCACTTTGAGACTGACTTTTTAAAAAAGTTATTACCTTCTGCTGTTGCAAAGTGCAAAACTGTGAGTGGAAATGTTTTATTCTGACTTAATAATATGTTAGAAATTAGAAAATACAGTGGGAGGATTTTTAGACATTGCTGCTGCTGTTACCCAAGGTACTTTAGAAAAACATTTTTTAATAAAAATAAACAAAAATCCCTTTGGTATTTAAAGTGAAACATTTAGTCTGTTCATTTTAATCGAAAGCAAAAAGTAATTTGGGTCAACATATTGGTATATTTGTAAAGCGCCTTAATATATCCTTTTGTGGAAGGCACTACACAATTTACTTTTATATTGTATTGTGTATATAAGTATTTTGTATTAAAATTGAATCAATGGCAACACTACAGTTTTATAAAATCATGCTTTGTTAGAAAAGGAATTACAGCTTTGCAATATAACTAAATGTTTTGCATACTTTTGAATGTAATAGATATGAATAATCAGTCTGTGTTTTTAATGAATCTATTTGTATTTTCCCAATCATTTTCTCTAGTGTAATGTTTGCTGGGATAATAAAAAAAAAAAAAAAGCAAAATTCAGGTCTTTAGTTATGTGTGGAAAGCTAATTTTAGGCTGCTTAAGTATTTTGACTTTTTAATTCAAAAATGTATTTTAACCTTTTATTCTCTGATAAAATGTATGATTAAAAATTTAAAGCTTTGAAATTAAAAATATATATATATAACTAATGATAGTGCCTAGTTAGATTAAGGCAAACTGAATATAGTGTAAATGTCAAATGTTTCCATTTAAGTGTTTTCCTTTTGTCCAGTATAAGTACAATAAATATTTCATGTTAAAGGCTTCCTTCAGATCACAGGTTTAAAACTTTTTAATTATTAAATTCTGTATTTAGTATCATTTGAGTACAGCTTATAATTTTAAAAATGTGTGTTACTGGTTAATCTGTTTGCTTTATTTACAGTGCTTTATCACATGAAAATTTTTTTAACTTTTAATTTTTTATTTTAAAGAATGTGGGGTATGATTCAGGGTATGAAATTCTTACCAAAGTATATGTATGTTGATGTTATGTCTTATATCAACTTTTTGTGGATGAACAGATGTTAAGTTTTTATTCCTTTTTTTCAAGCATTACTATCACTGATATGTCTCCTTTTATCTCCTTGTTTGCAGTCCCTTGTAAATGTATATATGTATGTATGGTCTACATGAGGCATTGCATTAAATTTCCTGTGATTATTTTGCTACACTGTAGACCCACGTTTGGCATGCTTAAAATTGTGACTATTCTCTGCTGTGCCAAAAAAGCCCCCCCACCCCCACACACGCATATCTGCTCACGTATGTGATAGGTAAAGGAAGGTTGCCAAATGTATGTTTGAAGCATAGATAGTTTTATTCCCAATATGCAATCTTTCCTTCTGCCTTTCAGCGATAGAGCTATCCAGAGATTCTGAACATTTTGCTGGGTTCAGACTCTGGATGGAATTTTAGGTTCTTTCCCCTGGGGGAGGGGTTAAGTTTGTTCTGTGGCAGGGGAAAAAAAAAATGATTCTTATAAATACTTAGCTCCCATACGGGATGACTAATAACACAGGCTGCTTTTGTTCCTAGTATACCCATTCTCCCATTCTTCCTTTTACTAACAGAGCCTCCATCCCTCTCTGAGTTTTGATTGCCCCGCTGGAGGCCATGTTTGTTTGTTTCTTTTTTCTTTTTTTAAGAAACAAGGCCCCACTCTCTCACCCAGTTGGGGTAGAGTGACATCATAACTCACTGTAACCTCGAAGTCAGATTTAAGCAATCCTTCCATCTCAGCATATACTACCTACCACATGTAGCTGATTTTTTTTTTTTGGTAGTGATGGGATTTCATGTTGCCCAGGCTGGTCTCAAATTCCTGGTCTTTTATTTTTTTATTTTAAAGATGTGAGGTACAATTCAGGGTTAGGTATGCAAATGTTTATTATGCAGGTACCC